ATTTAAATATCAGAAGATTCCAGCATTGTTTTTTTCTGATCTCTTGGCAGAAAGGATGTGTACTAGCATTTTATGGTATTAAAAATGATTAAATCCATGACACAAATTGCACAATAGGAAATCCAGGCCAGAATGCATTTAACTCATTGTATCACCAGGGACCAGAATTTAGCAGGCCCAGGAAAAAAAAAAGTAGGTAAGGCCACTTTATAGCTAAATTTGATACCATTAAAATTAAACAGGATTAAAATCTGTGGTTTATAATTTACCCAGTTGTGCCATGCCGCCCGCCCCACTCCTTTCGCAGGCGTTAGCCCGCTGCACCAAAAGGGAGGGGGAAAAACAGGAGCTAAGCACGCAGCAGCCTCGGCGTCTAAGCAAGCGAGTCCACAGCATGCGCGCCCGCATGTCTGAGACAGGGCATAAAAAAGGAGGGAAAGGCGGGGAGGAGACGACCGGACCCAGCCCCGTTTGGGGCGCCAGCTTGCATACAAGCAAGTCCCCCGGCGCAGGATATGGAAAGGCTTTGTTGACAGGTCCGAAGCGCGGAGAATCAGGAGGTGCCACCCACGTGCAACCGCATAATAAATCGCATCAATTCCGCCCAAACTTAAAAAAAATGTTGTTCAAGACTCCTGTTTAGCTGGAGGGGGTTTCATTCGCAATTCCGTGGCCGTTCTACAGAGTGCAGAGACTGCGGTCTGTGTCCGGCAAATGCCACTGCACGGCAGTGGAAACTGCCGTGCACCTTAGAGGGAACATTGCATGTATGGTAGCTGTTATGAAAATATTAAATTTGAAATATTTTCTTCTCTATTGCTCCACTGCAACTGTAACACTAGTCATGACTCTAGAACAACTCATCCCTTCCTTTAGTAGCTCCCTGGGATGCTGTTAGTGTCAGCTCCAACTTTATGGAAGTTCAACTAGCATTGGCAGTAACTTTAGGATTGGGATTCCCATATATATGGCTGCATCCTCAATGAAGTCAGATGGGGATTTTTTTATGGCAGCTCTGTACATTCAATATGCCAAATTGCTATTGTGATTTGAACCCCAGATTTTGGCCAGAAGGGAATTAAAACCTACCATATCTGTATGCTTGAACTCTACGAACAATGGCAGCCAGCAAGATTACAGTAATTTGTAAAGATAGTTAGTCCTTGACTTAAACCGCAATTGAGACCAGAATTTCCATTGCTAAGCAAGATCTTTGTTAAGTAAATCACCCTGGATTTTATGACTTGCCTGTTAAGTGGATCAGGAGGTCGTTAAGCAAATCCTGCTTCCCCGATTAACTTCCAGGAAGATGATTGCAAAAGTCATAAATCCCAATCATTTCACCCCAGGACACTGTAACTGTTGTAAATATTTGCCAAGTGCCCAAATAGTGTGACCTTGGGAATGCTGCAATAGATACAAGAATGAGCACTTACTGTAAATCACTTTTTTCAGGCCTGCTGTAACTTTAAAAGGTCACTGAATGGTTGTAAGCCAAGGACTGACTGTAAATGGAGATTTTGCAGTAATTCAGCTCTGTTGTTTAGAAGAATGCTTCACTGAATGAGTTCAGTGGGACTTCTTGGGAAAGGGATTATGGATTGCTACTTCAGTTATATTGATCTACGTAGGAATTATTTTTGTGATAGGATTGCTGTATGCTGTAGATAGTAATTTTGGGAACTTTTAGCAGCTTCAGTTAATTTAAATATGAATATTTCAACACGCAATGCCTTCTCTTTGTATTGAGTTCTTAAATTGGGAGAATATTTACACTTTTACACCTAAAAACTGGATCTCAGGCATAAGTCATCAACAACCATATAATGAAGGGCACTAAACCTGTGGATTCCCAGATGTAGCCCATGATGTATTCATAATTATTAAGGGATAATGAAAAATGAAATCTAACCAACTGGAAATGGATATGTTTTATATAAGATAAAACAATGTGAAAGCCACAATTTTGCCTTCTCTATTTAATCAGTATACATTGGGGCTGTGCAGCTGTTCAGCTATAAACTCCTAAAGGTGCTTAGCGTCTATTTGCAATCCCTTTTTAAAAATTACCTTTGTTTAAATCAAAATTCTTTTACATCAACTGACATTAGAGTTTGTAACTTTTATTTTAAAACCTGTACATCAGTCCATGTCTTAAAATAAGAGATAACAGAAATAAAAATTAAAAATATTCCAAGGCATTTGAACACTGAACAGGTGTTACAAGAATTCACTTATTTGATATTTGAAACCCAGTTTATATAAGTTACAAGAAATAGCTTTCCAAGAAAGAAAGAAAAACCAGAATAATCCTCATTTTAGGAGGAGTGGCTAAGACACTGAGCTTGTCAATCAGAAAGGTCAGCAGTTTGGCAGTTCAAATCCTTAGCACTGCATAACGGAGTGAGCTCCCGTTACTTGTCCCAGCTTCTGCCAACCTAGCAATTTGAAAGCATGTAAAAATGCAAGTAGAAAAAATAGGAACTCCCTTTGGAGGGAAGGTAACAGCGTTCCGTGTGCCTTCGGCATTTAGTCATGCTGGCCACATGACAATGGAGTCTTTGGACAGCACTGGCTCTTTGGCTTTGAAACGGAGATGAACACCATCCCCTAGAGTCGGGAACGACTAGCACATATGTGCGAGGGGAACTTTTACCTTTAATGTCCTCATTTGCTAGAGATCTTTATGGTAAACAAAGCCCTGGCTGTAAACTGGCTGCTTTCGGTGATTTATGAATCAGCTCATTGATTTTATGAGCGTAGTCTGATTTTTCTGCATAGTCGCACCTAGAAGTAACAGCTTTTGCAAACCTTTGATTCTTTGGCTCTGTAGCAAGCAGGTCAGTCTCTTTATCATAATTCAGTTTGCAAATCTGTTTAACTTTCTTTTTGAGCTTCTCAGCAAGGACATGATGCCTTAAAAGTTTTAATACCTGATTAATTTGAGAGGCTGCATCACTGGTTGCTCTAGTCTAGCTTAATGACAGAAATGGATGTCTTTTAGCTCTTTGCAGAATTTCAAAAGATCCCCCCCCCAATACTTTTGGTGTGAACTCAATCTCCTTCTCTGGGGGAGCACAATATCGCATTCCCAGGAATGATAACACACACTTCGTGGTCTCCCTCTTTGCAGAGTGTAGCTGTTTCTGCAAAATGGAGAGCAGGATTAAAAACCAGTGCAGCCCGGAGCCCAATAGCTGCCAAAATGCTACTTCTTGTAACTCATCTCGAACATTGATATAGCTCACCCATTTGCATCCCTTAAAGCAGCTTCATCTTTTTCTGCAGTTGCTACGCAATCCCAAGAGAATGATGCAGCCGCTTTAAGGGATTGCAAATAGATGCTAAATTTGCACTCCTATATGTCTTAAAACAGGACTGTCAAACCCATGGTCCGGGTGCATCATGTGATGTCCACGCCCATGCCTGCTTTAGTGAAGGGAGGAAAAGTCGTGATACGTCACATGACGAGGTGGTGACGACATGAGTTTGACTCTCCTGTCTTAAACTAACCTTTGGAGATGGAATCTGAATAGTGGCATGTACCTAAGCCACATTTCCCGGTTTCATTTTTTTTAATGCTTTTTTTTTCTTTTGATAGTAAAACCAATACAATATGCAAGAAGTGTGCTCAGAACGTGAAACTTTATGGGACGGTATGTATCAAAACTCTTTTTTTCTTTCAGCAATTTGGAATGGTTACCGATAATAAAAAATAATCACTAATAGAAGTAGCAATAGAGCAGAGAAAAAGTCATTCATAGAAATGTGTAGTATTATTATAAATTGCTATTAAATTCATATGCTGCCCAACTCTCAACAAACTAAGGGTTAGCTGAAGTGGGTTGATAGCCTGGTAGTGCAATGTTTCTCAACCTCAGCTACTTTAAAATACATGGATTTCAACTCCGTAGGTTCCCCTAGGCCAGGGATGTTAAACTCGATGTCATTGGGAGCTGCATCAAGGTTGTGTTTAACCTGGGAGGGGGGCTGGCCAGCATGATGTCACTTGTGTCAGCGGGCACGTGTGTTGGCCGAGTGCTCTTCCAAGGAAAACAGGCTGTTTTCGGCTGGGACAGCCTCCTGCAACCCTCTGCCAGCAAAAATGGAATGGCAGGCGGTCCTCACAAGCTCCATTTTCACTGGCAAAGGCACCACAGGCCTGACGTTTACTATTTCTAGGATGGCCCGCAGGCCAGATCTAAGCACCCCAGGGGCCAGATCTCTGGCCCCCAGGCCTTGAGTTTGACACCCCTGGCCTAGGTGGAATGCTGACTGGGGAATCCTGGGAGTTGGAAGTCCACATATTTCAAAGTTCCTGAAGCTGAAAAATAAAATGACAGTAGATAGTATAACACTTAGTGATTTCTGGTAAACCATTATAGCTCATGTAGCTTGTAGTGAGAGTTGCTCAGAATGACTGACTGCTGATATATGTTTTCCATCACTGGCCCAGTGTGTGCTAAACAACTGAGGTGGTCACCAAGAATGTCTTCATGTAAGCCAGCTAAGGCATTTGAGTGTTAATTGAAGTTACATTCTTAAGTATATTTCTTACATTTCAAGTGGCTAAAGATCTTTAAAGGTGCACTCTTGCTTTGTAAGTTTAAAACATTTTAGTAGAAAATAAGACTTAAAAAAAAATAAGCTATGTGAGGGCTATAATACTGTTTCAGTATGTAAGAGGATTATTTTCCATGGTTGATCAAAGAAAAGTAACTATAGAGAAGTTAAATACTTGTGTCATTATCAGTCCCTCCATCTCCCCCCCCCTACTTTTACTTAATTATTTCATTGGAAAAAAAGCTTGGAATGCATAGTGAGGAGCATTTGAGCAGGTGGGAATTATATTCCAAAGTGATGCTAATCCCCTTGTTTCATCTTCTTTATTACTTAAGCCAAAACCATGCCAGTACTGCAACATAATTGCAGCATTTATTGGCAACAAGTGCCAGCGGTGTACGAACTCGGAGAAGAAATATGGGCCACCCCATTCATGCGAACAGTGTAAGCAACAGTGTGCCTTCGACAGGAAGGATGATAGGAAAAAAGTGAGTATCTATGTATGTCCAGTTCAGGTAGTCCTCAACTTACAACAGTCCAGTTAATGATTGTTCAAAATTACAGAGGCACTGAAAAAACTAACTTGTGACTGTTTTTCACATTTGTGACCATTGCAGCATCCCCATGGTCACATGGTCAAAATTCAGACACTTAGACAACTGGTTCATATTTATGACCATTGCAGTGTCCTGGGGTCATATGATACACAGGGGTCACCTATGATGATGGCTCCCATCGTAAATGACACCTAAAAGGGCTCATGTTTCTATGGGTAATCCTCAACTTGCAACCGTTTGCTTAGTGACCAATAGAAGTCACAACTGTTTTGAAGAAAGTTATTTATGACAGTTTTTCACGCTTACAACCATTGTGGCATCCACATGATCAAAATTCAGACACTTAACCATCCGGTTCATGTTTACGACGGTCGCAGTGTCCCGAGGTCATGTGATCAACTTTTGCGACCTTCTGACAAGCAAAGTCAATGGGGAAGCCAGATTCACTTGACAACTGGGTTAATCAACTGCAGTGATTTGCTAATCAACTCTGGCAAGAAAGGTCATAAAATGGGGATAAACTCACTTAACAAATGATTCACTTAACAAATTTTGGGCTCAATTGTGTTTGTGGGTCAAGGGCTACTTGTATAGAAAGGTTAGTTTACTATAGGTAGATGTGAAGCACACTTAAATGTACCTGCCAGGATTCTGGCAGCAGCTGACTTTGGTGCTAGCCATTTTTTCTAGCTGCACCTCAGTCATTAAGACCAAACTGAAATCATGAATAACAAATTTTACAACTTTTAGAGGGGAAAGCATTGTTTTTCCCCCCAATAAGGTGTGAGTTGAATAAAATATCATTTTCCTCAGGTGGGAATTGAAGAGTTGGTCTGAATTAAACAGCAGATTTTTTTATTTTTTATTTTTTTTTAATTTATTGGTTTTCAGAATGGGGTGATGGTTTCAGAATGGTTTTATTGGGAAAGATGGGTGAGCCTGTTTCTTTATTCCTGTTGGGTTCACATGCCTCTTCTATCCTGTTTTGGCAACATTTTTCAATTGTTTGGAACCACATTCAAATTTGCATTCATGTTTTCTCTGAAATGACCTTTTGATGCACATTTCTAAGCTGCAAACTATGTTTTATATCACACAATACTATAATATGCAGCCTGGTTTCCTCTCTGCACATGAATCTGTTGACAAAATCTATTAATAAAAAGCCACTTCTCTGTTGTTTTCCTTCATTTCAGGTAGATGGGAAGTTACTCTGCTGGCTTTGCACACTCTCTTATAAGCGAGTGCTACAGAAAACCAAAGAACAGCGTAAACATTTAAACACCTCCTCTCGGACAAGCTTGCCGGAAAAGGAGCAATATGGCCGACTTAACTGTGGCAGCCACTACAGCAGGTATCTTTGCTTTGCACGCTATTTTTTGGTGCTCATTCTTTTTTTAAATTCAGTGATCTTGCTGATCCTTATGCTAAGCCAGGGGTGTCAAATTGGCAGCCCGCAGGCTAAATACATCACCACCAGGCCATGCTCACCCCGGCTCCACAAAGGCAAAAAAGTCATGATACGTCACTTGACATCATGTGACATGATCAAGTTTGACACCCATGTGCTAAGCCAAGGTTTGCTTAAGTATAGCTCAGGGGTTGGCAACCTTAAACACTCAAAGAGCCACAAAGGTCCTAAAAAAAGCCCCCCATTCAATTCTGGAGCTGACTGGAAGTCTGGTTCCCCCACCATAGAGTCGCCTCCTAGTGCAGCGTCCCTTTTCCTCTACCTGTCCTAACCGAAAGCCCTATCAATTGTGGAGCCAATTGGCAACAGGGAGCCACAGCAGAGGGATGAAAGAGCCACCTGCGGCTCCAGAGCCACGGATTGCTGACCCCTCGTATAGCTAGTCCTCATTTAATAATGATTAAATTGCTAAATGATGTAGTTGTAAAATACAACATAATGTCACTGTGTCAACTTACAACAGTTGTGACAGTTCCACTTACCATTGTTAAGCAAACATTGTGGGGCAGTTAGGCCCGACATCACATAGTCAGCATTTGTGAACTCCTGCCAGCTTTCCCCTATCACTGATGGATGTTACCTAGTTTGGGTAATGAAACGTCTGAAAGAAAAGAGCCAAGCTTAGAGAGCACCAAGGACCCCTCATTTCAACCCTGAACTTCAAACATCCTTTATTGGTAAGGGCTGAAAATTTTCAACTCGTGGTTTCGAATTGGCTAGTTTACAGGCTGTGGTTAATTTTTCCACTCTGCTCTTTTTTGCAGCCAGAAAACCTTATCTACATCTTCTATTCAGAATGAACTCCCAAAGAAAAAACCCAAGTTTGATGCCATATTAGCCAATGGGGACAGGTAAGCTACTTAAAGGGCTATTGGAGTTTGTCTTTATTTAAAAAAAGAAGGGAAAGAAAGCATGTGAATACACATTCTGGTGTTTCGAGATGAAAAGTAGAAGTTCCTCAAAATTAATCGTGGGTCATTCTGAAAAGGAAGATGAAGACACCCCTGTTTCTCCTTCCCCCACCTCACCCTCCATGCCACAATTTCACTCATATGTCTCCTGCAGAGCTGCTCTTTGCCTCCACCTATGGAGGCTCTCATTGGCTTGCAAACCATTTAAAGACAGGCTTTTCAATAGGCCTGTGAGACAGAAAAAAATCAATGCAGTGTGCTCTCCCCTGTCCTTTATTATTTGTCTTGTTCAATCTTTCTATTTATGTAACAGAACTGTGCATATTAACATAACGTTTATTTTACTCTGTGTATATTGTAGTTCAGATACTCAAATTATTTCATTTATATCAACTCAGCACAGGTAGGCCTCCTTTAGTGACCACAATTGGGAGCAGTTATTCCATTGTTAAACATTACGCCTACCTAAGCAAAACATCATACTTGAGAATAGAATAGAATTCTTTATTGGCCATGTGTGGTTGAACACACAAGGAATTTGTCTTAGTGCATATGCTCTCAGTATACATAAAAGAAAAAATACATTTGTCACGAATCATAAGTTGCAACACATAATGATAGTCATAGGGTACAAGTAAGCAATCAAATCATACTACGAAACAATCATTATAAATCGTAAGGATAACGGCAACAAAGTTACAGTCATAAGTGGGAGAAAATGGGTGATAGAACAATGAGAAGATTAATAGTAGTGCAGACATAGTGAATAGTTTGACAGTGTTGAGGGGATTATTTGTTTGGCAGAGTGATGGCGTTCAGGGAAAAACTGTCCTTGTGTCTAGTAGTTCTGCTTTGCAGTGCCCTATAGCTTCGTTTTGAGGATAGAAGTTGAAACAATTTATGTCCCCATAGAGATTCGTACCCTCACCACCCTCCAGGCCTTCCGCATAGCCCTTAAAAGCTGGCTGTTCCGACAGGCCTGGGGCTAAAGACTTGCAACCCCACTCGAATGGTATGACTGTTGTGCTTTTAACGGTGTATGGTTTTCATGTTTGTAACTTGTCTGTTTTTCCCCTCCCTTGAATTGTGAGCCGCCCTGAGTCCCCTCAGGGAAAAGGGCGGCATACAAATAAAGTAAAATCTAAAAATCTAAATGTCTAGGGTGTGAGGGGTCTGTAAATATTTTCACAGCCCTCTTTTTGACTCATGCAGTATACAGGAAGAACTTAACAAACTCACTTCCCCTTAGGTTAAAGGAAACATCACATGACCACAACTTATGATTTGATTTCCCCCTTCTCTATTAACACTACTTGTTGCAAGCCAGTTGCAGAGCACATAAATGATGATCTTTCAACTGGGGGATGCTGCAGTGGTTGTAAATGCAATGATTATTCACAGTTATTGTTTTAAAACCATCAGAACTTCAGTCATTCAACGAGGCAGGCATTAAGAAAGGACTGCCTGTAATTGTTAAGTTAAAACTTGCAGAGCAGTCTAGCATTGTTATCCACAGGGCGGGGATGAAGGCTGAGGAAGCAAAGCTACTCTATGGAATCCTCCTTTATCATGGCCTCCAGTCTGCCTGGAGAGTCCTTGGTGTTGTACTCACAACATATCTGAAAAATATCCGATTGGGGGAACTTGGCCCGTGGCCACCAAGAGTGGACATTCTGACACAAGAATTTAATTAAGAGCTTCCCAGGACACTCCTTGGCCTAACGCTGTACCATATTCAACTGCAAGTTTGCAGGTTTGCGTTTAGGCGCAAATGATCAGGCTCAAATTATTCTTGTTTGAACCAATTTTATGAAAACCAACTTTGAACCAACTCTCTGGAGAAGGCTGTAATGTTAGGAAAAATGGAAGGAAGGAAGAAGAAGAGCAAGGTGGGTGGACTCAGTTACAGAGACAATGAGTGGACTGTTGGGGGTGGGGAGAGATATGAAAAAACCGATTAAGGATAGATCATCTTGGAAAAAATCTATGTGGTTGTCAGGAGTCAGAAACTACTTGATGACCTAATCAGCTTGCAGCTAATCTCAACTAATATTTATGCAGATTCTCAGTTATGTTTGTCCCCAAGGTGCTTTTTCAAGAGGCAACTGGACTTTCTGGTCCAGTTGTCTCTTGAAAAAAGCACCTTTGGGATCCAAAAAATATTCTTCAGCTTATGTAAGCAAACATAGTTTCTGGGTAACAAATTATCTAAAACCAAAGTATTTCAAGCCTCTATATTAAATTATAGAGGCATCTCTTAAAGTTTTGCATCATCTGAAATTTTCAACATTATTAATATCCCTACAACTTCTAGAGTACTTTTGGGGGAGGCGTGGAAACCAGCTTAGCCTAGTGGTTAAGGCATCAGGTTAGAAACCAGGAGACTGTGAGTTCTAGTTCTAAACAGGAAAGAGGGCTGGGTGACTTTCGGGCAGTCACTTACCTCACAGGGTTGTTATTATGAGGGAAATGAGAGGAGGGAGGAATGTTATTTATGTTCACTGACTTGAGTTACTTATAAAATAATAAAGGCAGGATAATCTAATATGTGTACAAATAAATTTGATTGGAAGTCCTTGCAGTGTTCATACATAACCACTGGAGGGCAGCCATAAACTGTGAGAAAGAAATTACAAGTGGTCCTCGACTTACGACCACCATTGAGCCCACATTTTTTTTCTTGTTAAATGAGACATTTGTTAAGTGAATTTTGTTCCATTTTACAACCTTTCTTGCCTCAATTGTTAAGTGAACGACTGCAGTTGATAAGTTAGTAGCTTGGTCGTTAAGAGAAATCTGACTTTCACACTGACTTCGCTTGTCAGAAGGTTGCAAAAGGGGATCACATGACCTTGGGGCCCAACAACAGTCATAAATGTGAGCCAGTGGCCAAGCATTGAATTTTGATCACATGATCATGGGGAATGCTGCAAAGGTTGTAACTGAAAAACGGTACTAGGTCACTTTTTTCAGTGTTGTAACTTTGAAAGGCCACTAAATGAACTGTTGTAAATTGAGGACTGCCTACACTGGCTTGCAGTCAAGCAAAGTTGAGTCAGCAGGAATCTGACTGCAATTATTCTTGCACTCAGGCATGCAAGATTTCTGTCCCAGACCTGTCTGTGATATGGAGGTTAATACAGCAGGAAATTGCATCAGGTTTGCATCAGATCGGCAAACTTGGAAGGTGACTAGGACTACATTTAAGATGAACAATCCAGCCTTGTTTTTAAGTACAGGTATTCCTCAACTTACACTACAATTGGGACCAGGATTTCTGTTGCTAAGCAAAGTGGTTGTTAAGTGAGCCATGCCTGATTTAAAACCCCTTTTTTTAACCACAGTTTTTAAGCAAAATCACTGCAGTTATGTGAATCAAGTGCTTGTTAAGTGATTCCACCTTTCCCCATTGACTTTACTTGTTGGAAGCCAGCTGGTGGCCATCAAGGGACCCCAGGATGTTGCAGCCATTGTAAATACATGCCAGTTGCCTTGTGGCTGAATTTTGATTGTGTGCCTATGGAGATGCTCCAATTGTCATAACTGCAAGGACCATCCAGTTAGGGGTTTTTTTTGTGACATTGTTAGTTGCAAAGTCGTATCCGACCCATCACAACCCCAGGGACAACTTTCCTCCAGGCCTTCCTGTTGTCTACCACCCTCTGGAGCCCATTTAAGCTCAGGCCGACTGTTTTGGTGACTCCATCCAGCCACCTCATTCTCTGTCGTCCCCTTCTTCTCTTGCCTTCAATCTTTCCCAGCATTAGACTCTTCTCCAGTGAATCCTTCCTTCTCATTAGGTGGCCAAAGTCTTTGAGTTTCCTCTTCAGGATCTGTCCTTCTAAAGAGCAGTCAGGGTTGATCTCCTCTAGGACTGATTGGTTTGATTGCCTTGCAGTCCAAAGGAACTCACAGGAGTTTTCTCCAGCACCATAGTTCAAAGGCCTCCATTCTTTGGTGCTCAGCCTTCCTTATGTGACATTGAACAATCATTAAAAGCTTGCCATTGGTTACTTTCCTGCATACATTATAGGCTTAATTAATTAATGCTCATCCTAGATCTTATATTTGAGGCTGATTTTAACCATATTATTGTAATGTAGGTACAGATGAGTCAATATAAAATGCTTGCATCTACTTCTGTTCATCTTGTTTAAATCATTAAATGAATGTAAATTGAGGACTACCGTACATGTATTTCTCTGATATCTGTAGACACTAAGGCATTAACAAGAGGGACCAGAAAATGGCTATTCTATGTTTCTTTGCTACCTAGCAGAGAAATCACCCTGATTGTTGCATGGCAATGATGGCCATTTTAAATTGCCTTGGGCTGTGTAAGTGGAGCTCTTTCTTCCTTCTTGGCTAGTTTCCCATAATGTTCCAGAGTAATAATTTTTAGCGGGTTTATGTGCGAGTCTGAAATAGTCAGCAAGCAAGGGCTATATACTGGTAGCTATAGTTTATCTTGCCCAACTATAATCCTGCTATGTTTACTGCTGAGTGTAAGAACATTTTCTACTTCAGATAAAGTTGACAGGCTCAGAATTGCTTTTCCGGTCACTGTACTAAAACAAAAATCTAAAACTATGTTGCACTTGTGTATTGTTCTATTGCTTATTGCCCGGTAGAGTTTTCAGCGTTCCAGTAAAAATATTTTTATTCATACATCAAAGCACATTCTACAAATATGTAATGTTCAAATCTCATAGATCGAGGGCATGTTTATTTTTAATCTAATAATGTGGTCAGTACTTGTACAAACTTTGGATAAAAAGGAGATAAATACAGATAATCCTCAAGTTATGACCACAATTGTCATAAAGTTGCAAAGGGGGATCACATAATCTTGGGACACGGCAACGGTCATAAGTATGAACCAGTTGTCAAGCATCTGAATTTTGATCTACAAAGATCGTAAGAGTGAAAAATGGTCAAAAGTCACTTTTTTCAGTGTTGTAACTTCGAACAGTTACTACCTGTCTTTTAATTTGAATCATTCTCTGGAAATTTTTCTGATTCAATTTTTTCTGGCAACTCACATTTCTAATGAAAGTATTAAGTTGAAAGGAGGCTGCTATAGATTTAGAGTTATACTTTTTGCCTCATAGGACTTCCAGAGTCTGCAATTAATTAATGCAGAAAAAATCAAAATAGAAAGCACCTGATCTATTTGATGGTGTGGCAAGGAATTATTACTATGACTACAGGCAGAGTTATCTAACTGAGGGAAGGAATTAGAAATTTTGGAAAATTAAGTATTTTTTCTTGGAAAGAAAAAAATGAGTTTCACTATTTTCCAGATAATTTCATTGCATTGTTTATTTTTTTTAATTAGAATTTTAAACAACAAATATAAAAGCTAACAGAAAGTAATATTTAAGGTAAAAAAGTCAAAAGGAAAAAACCACATATAAAGAAGTGACAAAAAGAAATATATAAAAAAATATTTTAAGTCTATTTGCTAAAATCATTGTCAACAATTTATAATCTTTATCCAGTAATGACATTGGTCTATAATTTCTTCTTAGATCTTACCCCTCCTTAGGAATTAATGCTGCATTTAGCCTCTTTTCTGGCATCTTTCCTTCCTGTAAAATAGAATTCATCATTTTTGGAGGGGTTGTAAAGGTTAATCCTTAAAGGATTTGCAATAGGAATCTGATAATCCATCTGGTCCTAGTACTTTTTGGATTAATCTTTTTATGACTTCAGAAACTTCCCTTGTTTTTATGGGTTCAGCTTCTTTGTAAGCTTTGCTAAACATTGGTTTTCTAAGTATTATCTATTTTCCAAAGAAATATGATGTCCCTTATACAAATTAGAATAATAGTGAGGAAATGTTTTTTTGTATAACTGCATTGTCCATTAATACAGTATCTCCTTCTGGAAGTTTCAAAATTATTTTCTTTTCTTTCTCTTTTTTTAGTTTATATGGTAGCCATTTCCCTGGTTTATCTGCAAATTCAAAATTATTTTGCTTTATTTTTATTTCCATTTTTCCTAGAGTTAACATTGACAATTGTTTCTTTAAAGTTTAATTTGATGTAAAATGCTTAATTTCTCTAGCAAATTCTTTCTTTTCTTTTTATCACATCCAAAATAGCCTTTGTTTTATCTTGGGTCTTCTTTGTAAGATTAGTGTTATTTTATGTGAAATAACATCTTTTGAAAGTTTTCTTGTATCCCAAATCATTCTTAAATTAGTAACTATTTATTTATAAAAACTTTCTACTTGCAATCTTTTACTATCAATTCTTTCTATAATAGCTTATATTTAATTTCCATGTGAAAGAAGTAGGTTTCCTTTTATCAGCCAAATTCACAGGGTTATGATCAGAAAAAGTCTTTGGGAACATCTCAGTTTTAGAAATCGTAGCCAAATTAATGTGTTTTATATCTCCAGACATTTATTTTACAGAATTTTCCATCTTATCAAGCCTTTCATCTTTTTTTAAGGGCTTGAATTCAAGTGATTGAGCCAGTTTAGTTCCTAATTGATCGAGCATTGTCTGAAGTAAACTCAAATTGCTTTATCATCTTTCTTGACCAGCTGTTCCAAAGAAACTCTTCTACTCTAATCTTGCAGCCCAGATGTTAAGCACAAAGAATCAGGACCATTGGTTAAATTGCAGTTCAGAAGATTTATTGCTCAATCCTATACATAAGAATGCAGTCAACTAAAGTTCAATACTAAATTTGGTTCCAGATAAGGATCAACAAAATTTGAGAGGCTGGAGTTAGACTATTTATGGGAAGATAATGATTCTAGGCTAATGACTTGTTTAATTCCACCTCCAGCTTGGTCTGCTTTTTTCCTACACCCTTATTTAAAAATAAAAGTGCTAAAGAAGATAAACAAACTTCACACACTCTTTATGTTTTTTAAAGCTGTAATTGCAAACACACGTCATATTTGCATCTCCATGGTTACCATCAAGTACTCAGTCTACTCAAGTTATCTTCATAGTTTGTTTTGAAAATTCAGGCAATTATCAGGAGTCTTTTAGTGCAAAGCAAGCAGCATTCCCACAGAATGTCTGAGTCAATTGTTTAATTCGGATATGATTTTGGCAATGCATTTTCATAGAAAAATTAAATCTTTTCCAAATAACTTTCCCTTTTATCCAATTTAAAGTTACTTATATCATCTCTTGTTAAGCTTTCTGCCAAAAATCACCAAGATAAGTCCTTATCTGTTGTGAAAGGGAATCTCTCTCAGACTGTACAGTAATTATATCAAAATGTGATTAAGAAATGCAGAATGGCTGGTTGGTTGGTCCATTTTTGACTGTTCCCCAGCCATGTATGTAGATGGAATCCCACACCTCACAACCACTCAACTCACAACCAAATTGCAAAAGCTTCCAGTTTTGCAGTTAACTTATAGGAGCATTTGTCCAGAGTCAAATAGGTTATTCTATCTTCCCTTCTATGTCTGGAGAGAATTTGGTGCCTCCAGGTGCTGATTTTTGCTGAAATACTGTCTCCGCTCCCTGTAGATGATGAAACCCCTCTTAATCCTCACCAGAAACCCTACTGCAACTTTTAGATGTATATAACTCAGTATGCCTGTTTATGAAGTCTTGTGAAGATTGTCAAGTTTCAGGATTATGTTATTAGACTGGTAAAGAGTAGCAGCAGCTTGCTGTGCGTTACTGAAACGTAACCTCATGTTACAGAAATGCAAAACACAGTTTTGCTTTGCAGAAGCAATGGTTAAGAATATAATTCTCTATTTAGAGCAGATGTTGAAATAAAAGGTTGTACCAGATACCATACATGGGCATGACCAGCACAACTCATTTATGTTATTATTTTTTAATGCCTCCCTGAAGCAATTGAATAAGAGGTATGGAAATTATGCCCTATGAAATACGTCACTCAAGAGTTTCAGATTAACAGTTGGAAGAGACCTTCTAGGTCATCTAGTCCAGCCCCCGCCCAAGCAAGAGACCCTACATCATTTCTGACAGATGGCAGTCCAATCTTTCTTGAAAGCTTCCAGTGATGAAGCTTCCACAACTTCCAAAGGCAACTTCTGTTCCATTGGTGATTGCTCTCACTGTCAGAAAACTCCTCCTTATTTCCAGATTGAATCTCTCCTTGGTCAGTTTCCATCCATTATTCCTTGTCTGGCCTTCAGGTGCTTTGGAAAATAGCTCAACCCCCTCCTCTCTTTGGCAGCCCCTCGACTGCTATTAAGCCTGGTTTCACCCAGTCTCTATGTGTATCTTTTGGTTTTTCTTGCCTAAGTGTAAGACTTTACCTTTCTCTGCATTGAATTTCATTTTGTTAGATAGGGCCCATTGTTCAAGCCCTTTCCAAATGTATAACTTTATGAGTCCAACCCTCTCTTGTTCATGGATCCATTGCGATGGGTGTTGGGTTGTAGTAATGAGCAGAGTGAAGTCACTCCAATGGTCTCCTTCAGTTTTTCTCCAGACCTCGCCTTGGATTCCCCTGGCACCGATCACTTTGTCATCATAGCCCAACTGAAGGAAGAAGTAGCTACTTTGAAGAAAATGCTACACCAGAAGGATCAGATGATCCTGGAGAAAGAAAAGAAGGTAACACCTTGGAGCTCCCTGCTGGGATGCTTTGCTTCACCACAGACTCTCCTGTATTGCTTACTGTCCTGCTCACTGAGTGTTACTTGAAGAGGAGGCATCAGGATCTAGCACCTTCATGAGTCTCTAAGCCAGTGTTTCTCAGCCTTAGCAATTATAACCCAGCTATGCTACTGAGTGGGGAATTCTGGGAACTGAAGTCCAGAAATCTTAAAAGTTGCAAAGGTTGAGATACACTGCTCTAAGACGGGAAGGGCTATGGGGGTGGACCCATGCTGTCTTTTCAGGGTTTGCATTTGAAAGTGATTGAAGTAATGTCTGTTGAGTATAACTTCATACTCACTAATCTGAGAAAAGCAAAGAAAAATCATTTCTTTTTCTGATTATTGTTTAATACATACAGCCGCCTTTCCAACCAGCAGTCATGCATCAACTTATCCCTCCCTCCCTCCCCCTCTCTCGTATTAAAAGAATAAACATTAAAAATCCAGCACCAAAGTTAAACTTTTCACATGCAGTCCATCACTGAGTCCTCTTATCAATCTCACCCTCTTTCACATTTGGAAGACTAGGAGGGTGGGGGACTGCCGAAATTCAGAGGAGAGGAGTTCCATAGGTAGAGGCTGTCGCCCAAAAAATCACACTTCCTAAATCCTGTAAGATAGCAACATTTAAGGGAATGGAATATACATTTTTATTCATAAACACTTTTTTTGAAAAACAGTGCGTTGTCAGGTTATACCATTTACAAATAAAAAAGACCAAAAGAAGAAGAGCGGTGTTAAACATTGATATACAAGCTAATAACAATAATAATACTATAGTAACAATAGAGTAACTGTAACAAAAAAGCTTTTAGCTAAGTTTCGTCTTATATTAAAGTATTGTAATTATTTACCTTCTTATTTTCTTAATTTATCATCTCACTTTTCTCTGATTCCTACCTCTTGCTTCTATCCATTCATAGAATTTATTCCAAATCATATAATAGTCTGTTATCTTCTTGATCTTTAATTTTAAAGATTAGTCTAACCATTTCGGCACAATCAAAAAAATTTCAAACTACACCCTCCTCTGTTGGGCTATTCACATTTTTCCAATATTTAGCATATATGATCCTAGCTGCTGTTAGTATGTGTAAAACTAAATATGTGGTCCCTTTAACATAGCCCTCTGGTAGTATACCTAGGAGAATGTTTCTGGTTTCAAAATATTCTGTTTGACTATCATTTCCAGCCAGTTTTGTATTTTCTCCCAATATTCTCTTCCTTTACTAAACGTCCACTACATGTGGTAGTAGGTACATGGGGTCTGATTACATTTTCAGCACTTAGCAGATGCCACTTGTAAAACATTTTATAAAGATTTTCTTTGTAAGCTGAAGCCATAGTCAATTTGTAGTTTCTGTCCTTAACCCTAACCCAGCAATCTCTTGTGCCTGGTGGCCACCAGTGACTCACAAATGACAACAGTCACACCCTTATCCCTGCCCTAGAGTCATGCTTGGTGCCATGGTTGAAGCCCAGAAGAGCACGTTTCAGGGAGGGGAATCTTCCTTTGATGTTTTTGTTTCCTTCTCACTATCATTTTTATTACTATTTTATCTTTTAAACTGTTCTTCTATATTGTTGCCAAGAAAACAATGTGGGGCTTATCCATAAATTTACCAGGAGTCTAACTTCATTTGAAGTTGGTTTTTATCTTTTCCCTGTTTCCTCTTAAATCATCACTTTTGAATGAGATGATTGAAATGACTGATGAAATCATGACATTGGGAAAAAAAGAATAGGATTGAACAGGCAAGATAATTGTCCAACAAATAAGTAAACTTGTTTGAAGTTTAAAGCTGGAATTTATTGGTAGACAAATAAAACACTGGGTTGTGTTTTATTTTGCCAGTTCTATGGGGTAGAAATAAGAACAGGGACCAAAATGACAATCAAGAAAATAGAAGCTTTGAAATGTTGAGTTACAAAAGATGACCAAAACTATCTCATTTTGAACGTGAATAAACTGTGCTAATCCTCCATACTATGGGAAAAATGGAGAAGTTATAAATAATATCCAAAACAGAAATAGGAATATTTAGGACATATAATATACCCCAAAAATCCTGATTTTATCCATATCTATCTATCTCCATCCATCCATCCAGGTATCTATCCATCCATCTAGGTATCTTAACTCGCACTGCAATCATAGGACTAAGAATAAACCCTAAACACAATACATGGCGTTAGGCCTTAAAAGCTCCTCAGAAAAGCTGTATCTTCAGCTTTTTTTGGAAGACAATTTTGGAGATAAATGAATCTCCAGTGGGAGATGATTTCAGAGGTCCTGCCCCATCATGGAATAACATTTCTGCAAAAAATGGGGACAGCTAGCTACTTGTCCCAGGATGATTGAAGTTGACTTGAATTAGGATTGTATGGTCCTACAGGCACCAATCCACAAAGGGGTTTATGGATTGAAATCAGCACTAATTAATTCAGCAGAGTCATGGGAGATGCAGCCCACAAAAATGATACATATTCTGGCTAAAATATTTTAACTGCATGGTTTGGCCAAAAAAATCATGTCCTTCCTTTGGACAGCAACCCAAAATAACAAATAGTAATGATAGTCATCAATGTCCAGTAGAAGACAGCATCATTTTTCTGAGGTGTTTCTCTTTCTCTTCTTTTTCTTTTTTTTAAATATATAGTGTTATTATTTCACTGGATATTTAATACGATGAGGCTCCAGTGTTACTATATTTCATGTGTTTGAAAAATTATTTACTGTAACAAAATACACATGCATCACCAATGTAATCATTTTTTTATCTATTGTTACTTCTTAACTTTTTGTGTGGGTGCTCAAATACAGTAAACTTCATGTCTAGGCACATATTTCATGGATGCACTGCCCAAGGACAGAGGCAATATTCAGCTCCCGGAAAGTGATAACAAAATGGATTGATTTTTCACTATCACTCCAAAATACAGATTAGAGAAATGGAACTGAGGTACCTTTTGAGGGGTAAACCAATCCAAACTCCGCCTTTTTTATTAACTTTTCTGCCATCACCTATTAGTTCATAATTATTTCTAGTGTTTAAAATGTTTAAATCCATTGTTTTCAATAGGATGGTAGTATTAAAAGAGACAAGGAAATGGCTTCATGTTCTGCAAGTCTGGAAGACATCAGAAGGAAATTGGCCTCAGCTAGGCTAGGTACCTGTTTTAGTTTTCCAGAAAAATACATTTAGACGTTAATAAAACACCTAGGGACACAGTGGCTAGGACGCTGATCTTGTCCATCAGAAAGGTCGGCAGATTGGTGGTTTGAATCCCTAGTGCCGCGTTACTTGTCCCAGTTTCTACCAACCTAACAATTAGAAAGCGTGCAAAAAAATGAAAGTAGAAAAATAGGAACCATCTTTGGTGGGAAGGTAACAGCGTTCTGTGCACCTTCAGCATTTAATCATGCCAGCCAGATGACCACAGAGATGCCTTGGGACAGCGCTGGCTCTTTGGCTTTGAAATGGAGATGAGCACCGCCCCCTAGAGTTGGGAACAGCTAACATATCTGTGAGGGAAACCTTTACCTAAAATACCTTCTGTTATTCTTCCCCTGGGGAGGGATGGCATTATATTAGTTCACTTCACTGCAAATGCATCTCAGTAGCCCTATTTTCTTTGTTTTGGTTTCCAGATAACAGAACTGAAGGCTGACCTGCAATACCAGGAATCCCAAATGAGGGTGAAAATGAACCAGATGGAAAAAACTCACAAAGAAGTTACAGAACATTTGCAGGTAACCTTGATTTCATTTGGACTTTTTACAAGCATTCACGTGATTCAGTAGACTTGATTGCTACACCGGGCTGTGCCAAAATGTTGCTTTTTCTTCAGTTTTGGCTTGATGTTCAGTGCATTGCATGAACCCAGCCATTGTGGTTTATAATGTCCCGTATTATGAAAGTGTTTCCAGTCCCAGCAACTCAGGTGTGGGTCACTAGGAATCAGGATCCAATTTGGATCAATCACAGAGGTTTAATCTTTTAAGTTTTTGGACTCCTGCTGGAGCCCATCCTCAGAGAATTTCTCTCTCACCAGAATGAGGTTCCCTGAGGATGGGCTCCAGTAGGAGTCCAAAGACTCAGAAGATTCAACCTCTGGTCCTGGTGACTGATCCAGATTAGATCCTGCAACATTATCCTAGGATAATCTCTATCTGTCTTCATTCACCAGAAATCAGGTTTGATTCAAGAGACCATAGCAGTGTTAAAATAACAGATTAGCAGTAAGCAAATCCAGCCATTTTGGCTTATTCCAGGGTAGTTAGCCATGGTTTAGCATGCTGAAATGCACATTTTATACACACCTCTCTTCCTTTCTTCCTGCAGGCCAAGAACCGAGAGCTCCTGAAACAGGCTGCAGCTTTATCCAAGGGCAAAAAATCAGAGAAATCAGGAACAATAACTTCCCCTTGAATTCATCAGATCTCTTGCCCTAAGATGTCTGGAGTTTAAAGCCCCGTGGTTCCAGAACCACACATGGATTGCTATTCCTGTGCACATGACAGAATCCTTTGAGATTGGCTATTTAATAGAGTGCCCCAGTGCTGGTCTATAAGATCTCTTCCTCCTGTCATAGTACAGTGATGAGAATGATTGGGAGGCTTGGTCCTCCTGTCCTCCAAGCTCAAGAACAAGCCCTTTTTAGCTCAGATGTTCCTCTCCAACCATTTTTACCATCACTGCCTTGGGATTGATGAAGCAAGAGGGCCTCCTTGCCAATTGGATCCTTTACTAGACAAGAGAGCCAGTTTTTTAAAAAAATGTAAAAGCATTTTTAAAATGAAAATTCTGCCTATTTGGGGATGTGTCTACCCCTCAATTTTTAAGGACAGCGTGAGACTTTTTCTCACAGGTTTGTAAATGGAGAACGGAGTTTCAATCAGCAATTCTCTCTCCAGCTTCTAAAAATTCAAGAGTTTCTTGGCAGAATAGTTGAATATACTCATGTGGAGGCCCAGCATTTATGAATTGGTGTTTGCTCATGTTTTTATGCTCCTTTAGGTAGCACAGCTGTTTAGGCTGGTTCAACAGCTCCTTCCGTTTGGAGTGATATCAGGAATCAGAAGTAGGCTAAAATTACTTTCCAGGTACACGAGGTGAATTAGTAACAAGTGTACATCTATGCAGTTTTTTCTGAAGAAAAGCAAAACAATCATTTTGACTGCCTTGGCAGCAGAATTAAAGGAATTGGGGGAAATGCTGAAACTAGAGGACAAAGATTTTCTGAAATCTTGATCTATTTAAAAAAAAAAGACACCCTCAAGTCAGGTTTATGTGGCTTGCAAGAAAATGAGACAGCTTTAAGTGCTGAGTGAGAACTCTTGATGCCTGTAAAGGTAGAGATGAAAAGAATCCAATGAGTTTTTCAGCTATGGTCCCTCGCTGAATTTTCTGGGAAATGGTAAGTGTTCAAAAGCATTGAGAAGCTGCTAGTTTGTTTTCAGTTTGCTCCAGGCTGATTGAATTAGGGAGAAGGTGGGGGGGTGAAGAAAATCATTGCCAAAAAAAAAATGCCTCACACAGCAATTTGAGATGAATTAATCACCTTTTTATATATAAATAAGAAGAAACCTGTGCTGCTGTTGATTTTCTGATGCCTATCTCTTTAAAAAAAGGAAGACAACCTTGAACGGGGAAGCATGCAGAAATTGACGCTGTACTTTAGGTTATTTATTTTTTCATCTTTGCTCTTTTTGGCAAGAACCCATTGCCTAAGAAGGAACATACTAAATAGAACCTAATTTTTATACTTAATATATATATTTTTAGGAAGAATTCATTCATAGAGATTTAAGTAGGGGGGCTTTCAGCAATCTTTTCCCCATCCCACCCAATTAAGAGGAGAATAATATTTCTGGAATAATTTAGGTGCCCCCCCCCTTTGTTGTGACAGTTCAATCATGCATTAAAGTGATGCTTTGCCGTGATGCTGTTCTTTCTGGAATGTATTAATTTGATTTGTACAAAAACATGCTAAAATATGCATCTGGGGGAAGGGGGAATCTTACAGCAACTTTTTGTTTTGGATATTTTGTTTATGGCTTTCTGGAGTGGTCCAGACAAAATAAGCTTTATTTTCTTTCTCGCTGAACTTGGGCCTGGTTTAGGCATTGCTGTCCTCATGACACACAAAAAGCTTTGGTGCTAGGGTTGAATTCACTGTCTGTAGCAAATTAAACACTTTTTTCTTCATGATTAGGATTTATTGTTTGGTGCACCCTCTTAAATCTTCTTTGCCTATCTCTGTAACTGTTGTTATTGCTTTAAAAGTTTCTGGGGATTTTAATAGGCTGAATTGTTTTCTACCTGCGCTATAGTTGAAAAGGCCTCTCAGTTTGGAAGATGACATTTCCTGATCAGCATTCTTCCCACCACACCCCCATGCCCAGAGTGATGTTTCATGAATTAAGCAGATAGCTGCACCTTTGATAAAGGACACAAAATGACACTCCCTTAGGGAAATCCATACCCTCATTGCCTTACTCCTTCAGGAGGTCCCCAACAGATGAGTAACTGATCCCACCCTTCACCAACTCAGTGCTGAAGAAAAAGGTGTGATGTTTGATGTGGCAGATTGTGGGGGCCATCAAAAAGAAATTATATATTCCTAGACTGATTATGAGCCATAGTGGTGCAGTGGCTAGAGTGCACTACTGCAGGCTATTTCTGCTGACTGCCGGCTACCTGCAATTTGGCAGTTCAAATCTCATCACGCTCAAGGTTGACTCACCCTTCCATCCTTCCAAGATGGGTAAAATGAGGCCCAAATTGTTGGGGGCAATAGGCTGACTCTGTAAACTGCTTAGATGGGGCTAAGCACTGTGAAGTGGTATATAAGTCTCAGTGCTGTTGCTATTATAGTTTAATAGTAACAATTATTTTTTCCTGCACAAGTGAATAAACAGGCTACTTTGGTTGAGGTCAGAAAACCTAGGCAGAGGTGTAGCTTAATGGGAATTTGATGGCAGACCACCACACAACTTCCCAGGTGTGTGCAGACTAGACTGGGAAGTTAAAATACATCCCTGAAGCAGGAGCTCACTTCTGTGTTGTTGCCAAGAAAGCTACATTGTAGCACTCAGGTGTCTCAACTTAAGGACATCCTTACCTGTTTATACCTGTTCTTTCTTCATATCAAGTGCAATGGCATACATGGGGCATCCTAAATGCAGGAAAGGGCAGGTAAGGTTTATGACATTTGTTTTGGTGGTTTGGGTTTGCTTTTTGTTTCTTAAATGGGCCCATGAAATCTTTCTGTGAAAAGTTAGTGGAAATGATTGATGTGTTAGAATTAAGGAGCTCTATTCTCACAAATGAAGATAATTTTTTAAAAATAGAATGAAATGGAAAAATAGGATTTTAAAGCATAATTTTAAGGAGAAATGCCAACACTTTAGTTATTTCCAACAGTTCATAACATTTTACAGATGATGGCAATAGTTAATATAGCTAACAAATGACAACCTTTGAATATAATGTATCTTTCATTGTAAGGTTTTTTAAACTTGTTCTTTGGTTACTTTTTTTTAGCAAGAACAATTGATAATGTTTAAATACCTCTGAAAGATGTAGTTTAGCCTTCCAGTATTTTGTGAAAACAAAGGAAGAATCATTTCTTATATGCTTAAGAAAATGTGGATTAAAAAATCAAAATTAGAATTCATAATGAAATGTTGGATGCTTATTTGTTTTCACAATTCCTTCAGGTTGTTTTCATTTTGTTGTTACTAAAATTATAATTTCGTCACTAACACTGTCCAAAATATAAATACATTTAAATGGAATATTGTGCCATTTATGGATTACTTCCATGATCTCTTTCCTCTCTTTTTCCTCACTTTTTAATGTTGAAGTAGATTTAAAAGGAATTCCATATTGCGAAGAATTTGCACAAGCTTCATTGGACTTCACATCAGTGTCTCAGAGGTTTTTTAAAGACTTTCAAGAAAATATAACATTTTTAACAAATGTTTTTATCACTGACAAAATTCTTTTGGCATTAAATAAAGTTGATGTACATCATTGTTCAAATATTAATGGTCTTAATTGATGAGATTTAAAGAGCTTGTAGAATGACTTAACTTGGATTATTTGTAGCCAATTTAAAACTTGTGACCAATCCTTTTGCAAAGTATATTCAACATAACAGCATAATCTTCAGCTCTATAAAATCCCCATTCCTTGTGCTGAGTAAATTTATCCTCATAGTTGAGAAGAGAATAATTGGAGAATAAGAAAATATCAGGCACTATTAATAGATTCTACTTTTCCAGACTTCTAAAATAATATTTGAGGATTTTGAGACAGTAGATAATTAATGCTTTTGTATTCAGGTGAAACAGTATCACTTTAATCAAATCCAGAGGGAGAATGTATTTATCCTTTAATTATTATTTTAATATGTAATCACTTTTCATTTTAATTCCATAGCAACAAAATAATATTCCAAATTGGGTACGTCTAAGCCTCTCTCATGCTTTTATTAATATTCTGTGGTCAACCTAATCTGTTTTTCACTGTATGTAACTGAAGAAAACTTGCCAAATATGATATAAAAGTAGGTAATAAATTGGGATGCTTGGAATAACATAGAATTTTAGAGGAAAAGACATTTTAAGCTGTTTTACCAAATAATGAAAGCAGAAAATATTGCCCTGACTTAAATCCTCTTTTAATCTTGTGCAGAAGAGCATCGTTAATGATTAAAGCTTCTTTAGCTGGTGCCAATTGTTTGAAAAACTATGCCTAATTAAACTCACATGAATTAACGTAAAATCCAGTAACTTTTTAAAGCCCATTTTATGCTTGCTTAATGTTAATTAAACAGAGTTGTTTGTTTATTCTGCTATTCTGTTCTAATCATAGTAGTATTCAACAAAGTAGTCAGGTTCAACCAAATTTATTTGGAACTTTTATTTATTTACAAAAGAAAATGTGTATATAATCAATTGGTGGTAATTGCTATTCTACTTAACATCTTCAGGGCCCAGGAATTAGATCAAAGAAGTGCTGCTTATTTAGTAGGGGCAGGGGAATCTTCCTGGTTGTCTTCCTTCATCTCCATAAGTTCTGAACCAATAAATTTACAGTTCCCATCATGCCTGACCTAAGGTATACCCCTCTTCACCTGTCACACAGCTGGCGGCAGCTCCCTGGCTCTTTCTTCAAGTGACAGGATGGGTTGCAAGAGCTGGGTTTTTGTTATTGCTTGGCTTTGCAGTCTGTCCCCTGCTATAGCAGAATTAGGGCAGTGAGCTCATTGGGAAAGGATGGCATGCATGTTAATAGCTGTCTACTGGATACGCTTCCAACTGTACTGTCTGGTAGCTGACTTGTCCTGTTACAAAGAAATGGTAAATGTGAGAGTCATCCAGAAGATTAAAAAGCATAAGGGGGTAATTATTAAAGGAATACAGTGCCCCTTAATACTATAATGTGACGAAGCAGCATGATGGCTTAGAAGTGAAGCCCTGGCCTCACAATCGGGAGGCTGTGAGTTCAGTCCTAGGGCAGCAACAGATATTTCTGTGTGTGCAAAGAGAAAATATGCTGGGAACTCTGCATAGGCATCAGGAAGGGCATCTGGCCAGTAAATGCTCAGCTCCATTCAATGGTCTCAATTCCACCCAGATGCAAGGGATTATAGAGTCATTAAAAGAGAAAGAAATTCTAGAGTGTGACCATTCTGCCCAATTCTGAGGTCTTGACTTGGCTTTTCAAGCTCTGTGAAGCAGGTCATCCTGTGAGATCAAAGGAAAGAGCCAAGAAGAAGCAATGGACACCAGGGTACTGATTTCTGTTCCCCATCCCTCGGGTCTTTCTTAAAATGGTCTGACGTTCCTCAGAAGCTCTCGTGTTGGAACTGCATAAAATGCTTCTCCCACTAATGTGTCCAAACATTGTCCTTTCAAAGAGATGGGTATGGTGCTTAAGATTGCAATAAGCCAATGGTATACAGGTTAAAGAGAACAGAAATAACAAAATGTATTACCGTATTTTTCAGAGTATAAGATGCACCTTTCCTCAAAAAAGACTGAAAATCTGGGTGTGTCTTATACACAGAATACAGCCTTTTTTACCTCCCAAAACCCCGCCCCCTTCACCAAAATGGTCATGCATACCCTTATAGAGTCAGAGAGCTCCTGGGGGCTGAGGAGGGCAGAAATGAGCGAAAAATGGAACATTTTTTGCTCAATTTTGCCCAGCCCCCAGGAGCACTCTATAAGCTTCTTAAAAGCTATCCATGCCTTTTTTTTACAAAGGGGGCTCTTTTTTCACAAAATACGGGACGTTTTGGGGAAGTTTGCAGAGTATAAAAACTTTTTTTTTAATTTGCCTCTTCAAAACCTTGGTGCATCTTATACTCCGGTGTACCTTATAGTCCTAAAAATACAGTAAATCCTAAAACAACATTTTCATTTGTGGATCCTAATTGATGTTAACCTTGTAGTCTAGCTTGAATGTAAAGAAATGGTTCCAAAGTAGCAAACTATTTAGAACACCAGTGTCAAACTCAAAGCCTGAGGTCCAGATCCACCCCGTGAGGTGCTTAGATCTGGCCCACAAGGCCACCCTGGAAATAGCGAAGGACTGGCCCACGGTGCTTCTGCCAGTGAAACCGGAGCTTGGGAGCCAGTTTCCACTGGCAGAGCACTCAGGCCACCACAGGAGCCCCTGACATACAATACAAGAGCAGAGTTGGAAGGGACCTTGGAGGTCTTCTAGTCCAACCCCCTGCCTAGGCAGGAAACCCTATACCACTTCAGGCAAATGGCTATCCAACATCTTCTTAAAGACTTCCAGTGTTGGAGCATTCACAACTTCTGGAGACAAGCTGTTCCACTGATTAATTGTTCTAACTGTCAGTAAATTTCTCCTCAGTTCTAAGTTGCTTCTCTCCTTGATTAGTTTCCACCCATTGCTTCTT